GTCTGCTGACAACTGTCCATTTCCAGTGGTTGTCCCTTCAGGCTTGTTGCCAAGTGCACTGCTTTCTGCTCCTCTATCATCCATTCATTTCTGCTAGGAGCTCAAATTGTGCTCTATATGCTTCCCATGGCGCCTTCCCATCGAATTCCTTTGGCTTTCTTCCTTCCTGTGGCAATCTGCAAGTCGCGGGTTCGAATCCCCATCCCACCAAACATGATTGCCCTTTCAGCCGTGGGGGCGTTATAATGTCACGGTCAATCCTACTATTCGTTGGTAAAAAAAGTAGCCCAAGAGTTGACGTGGGTGGTGATGACTAGCTGCTTTCCCTCTAGTCTTACACTGCTAAATTAGGGACGGCTAGTGCAGATAGCCCTCGTGTAGCTTTGCGCGAAATTCAAAAACAAACAAGCTAGAAAAAAACTGTAAAACAAACGATGATTAAAAAAACTGAGAGAAGATTTAAGTGATTTTTCGACGTTTTCGAGCACGGAGGGAGATGACGAAGAAGACTTCTTCAAATAACACTATTCCTGAACAAAGAACCAACTACTTCAAAAGATATAGAATCAAACTTGTTCCCTCCACCAGCTTTTAAATCTCTTTCATCTACTTCAATACACCAATTCCATCGAGTGCGGCTGTGAAGCGCATTTTCTTAAAAGGGAAAGGCATTTTCAAACGAAAAAGAGCTGGATTGACGAATAACAATTTCGAGAAGCTGATTCTACTGAATTTAAAACAATAATATGAGGAATGCTATCTTTTAATATTAGAGATTTGTTATTTCATCTTAGCTTATTAGGTCATTTATTATTATTACTGTTATCATATTCATTTTTTTTTAACGTTGTGTTCTTTTAGTACTATCATTAAATGTATCGAAGGCTGTATGATTGTTAGCTGCTTTCCTCTCATCATTCTGAGAAGTCTGTATTATGATATTGTAGCAATAAAGTATTACTTTTACCAATAAATTTGCGTTTTTCATTCTTACATTATTTATCGACAAACAAAATTGTTATGAAAAATGTCGGTTTCAAAAGTAACGGTAGCGCGCACAGCTATGGTATTATTATTGTAAATGAGTCTGATATAATATGTCCAACTGCTCACACGTTTTAAACAATTGAATGATTAAGTGAAAATTCGTTATTGTTTTATTTAGAACTAGCAAGTGTTATCCTTGAATTTTTGTTATAAATTTCCTTCCCGATTAAGTCTTAAGCATAGTTAACATTGCTTTGTTGCTATTGGCTGTTTACTATTCTAGTTGTAATACATCCTCGTGCGTGGGATTTTTGAAAATGTGAGAGCGAATTTGTTCTTAGTATCACAGTCACTGTGATTTAATATTATATGGTAAGTTATATGTAAAATTTTGTTTATTATGTTGTTGTGCTAAATGTTTCAGGTTTGAGGAATGGAGTGCACCGCATATTTTTATGATAATTATAATCATTTTGTGACTTTCAACAAAATTTACAAATTTCAGAATATTTATATATCTGTGATGTTAATTTAGGTGTGTCTGTACGTAGGCGTCAGATATTTGCAATTTTCAGAAGAAAGAATAATTAATCATTATTTCTTGATAATTCTTTCTGTCAATTTAAATTTAAAACGTATGAAACAATAACTGTGTCGGCGATAATACGTAGTCTACATATTACACCCACAAAGTGGCATTCATAATCATATGAACTATAGTACAGGCTATATTATTATTATCAATTTGTCATTATAATTTATAATGTATTTTAAGTTTATACTTTACATTACAATGTTTTTGAAAATGAAACTCCCAGTTTGTCAGGTTTGACGAATTTCTTGTGTTTTTTTTATGTTAACACACACACACACATACATAGAGTGATAGCAATATTTTAATCAGACAGATATTTTAATTGACGTACACGTTTTAACAAAAGGGAAGGAAAATTGCAAGCTTTTAGATTTTTTGTTTCCAATTCCCTAAAACTTATAAAATTTGTCATTTTTATTTCATCAACAATGCTCCTTTGTTTGAGAGATGTTTGTATACGTGTGTTATATATATATATATCTTGTATAGATCTGTTCATGCCCATTTACTTTCAACAGAATTAGAATAGATTAAATGTGAATGAAACCTTCATGAAATGACAACCAGACTTCAAGGAAAGAAATTTCGGCACCGGGGACAATGCAAAGCTACAAAAAGAAGGAAAAATCGAAACACATACAATAAACAAAGTAAAATGAGGTGGGTATATAAAATGATGTTTTAAGCAAAAAATTTTAGGTGAAATTTCCATAAAATGAAGTCTGAGTTCAACATAGTTTTTACCATCTATATAATAAAAAAATCAAACATAAAATTGTAACTGAATTAAAATAGAAGCCATGGTTTTGTTGTATACATTATTAATTAGGACTCACTGGAGTATTGTATGCAGTTTTGCTCTCCTTATTTTAGGAAGGACATTGATTTGTTGAGGAGTTCTACTAATTCCAGGGTTGGAGGGGTCATCAAGAGGATAGTTTGAAATATTTTAATTTATTGTCTCTTGAAAAGAGAAGGGTCAAGAATGATCTAAGTGAATTATTCAAAATTATTATGGAAAAGGAAAAGGGCACAAGATTTTTTCATGTTGAATTCTGAGGGTAGTATAAAGAGGTCATAAATTAAAGATTTGGAAAAATTAAATAAATTTTCAGTAGTAGCAGTTGTATTCCTCCAACAGGATTGTAAATCTGTGCAACAAAGTACCATCTACTGTAGTAGAGGCTACAACTTTACAAGAGTGTAAAAAAGGTTTGATAGGTACTTGGAATCGGGGCTGAATCTAGTGATTAGTTTTCTGTTTGTTGAAGGAGGTCAGGACATCCTTGATGGACCAAAAGAATCCTGATGTCTCAATTTGAGAATATCAAAAAGTTTGTTTAATATTTTGAATTCTTGATATGTTTGAAAACTGTAGAGTACCTTTTGTATTATTCACATTACAGACTAGAATTAGTGGATTAATTAAGCTGAACTGGGTAAGATTTTTTTGTAATTTGTAGTTTTTTTTAATAATATGTCACTAGTGAAAGCAAAACTTATTTAAAAATGTCATTTAATGTGGCAGGTTCAATAAATTTTTAACTGTCATTGGGTAAATTGAAAAAGCAAAGCGTGAAATTAATGTTTATCCGGTATCAAGAATTCTCACTTTACTGATAATTTTGTATACATTAGCATTTTTATGATACCTTAAGCTGCAGTATGTACAACTTGATCTGAGTGATGGTGGTTATTGGTGTCTATTTTTCACATAAAATGGGAGATGTTTATTCAGTAGAGTTTTCTGACAGGTGGGTAACTGTGGTTTTTACATTTACACTTGTAAACTTATGTAAGGTTCATAGTATGTATTATAAATCATTATTAAGCAGGACTCTCGTGACTATACATTTTAACAACTTAACCAGGGATGGCGTGACTGGGAGGTGCACAGGGCTGCAGGTTCTTGGGGGCAACAAAAATTGGTTCTGGTCACCAGCTGCTCCTTGGCTGAGCAAAAAAATCAGCATCCTACAGTAAAACATACAGCAAGAACATAACGTTGCTGTTGCCTACAGATGATTCACAGAAAATTGGTTGGGGTGGACAGCAAATTCAGCATTCACACGAGACAGCAAAATGTTGAGTTGTTTATGAACTCAACGTATGGAAAACAAGGGCACATTTGGACCTTCGATGCTGTCCTTGCACACCTAATCTATGGTAGATGTGAACATTTAAACTCATTGTTTACTTTTCAGGAAATCATCAGTTCCCCCTTTTAAAGTCCTGTGAAGTACTGGACTCTACTACTGCTGATGGCAACTCATTACATAAGTTAATCATCTTGTTTGAAAAATAAAACCATCTTAACTGTAACTTAGCCTGTCTCTTTCAAATCTTAAACTTGCTTCCTTACATTCTATTATCAACAGAATATAACCTAAAGAAATCAGAAACCTTTATCCTATTGACTTTTTCTTTTCTTTGAGAAAATAAGAGATTTTATCATATCCCTGTAAGATACCACTTTCATCCCAGAAATCCTTATCTGCAGTCATGCTAGTTAGTGGGTTCCCATGTATAACAAATGTGTGATCCAAATTATGATAAGTAAAAAGCATAACCTTGCATTTACTATAAGTAAGGGGCATTTTGCTAAATATTTGTCAAACTTACCCGTTGATCCAAGTCATTCTTCAACATCCTCAATACAGCTAGAAACATCCAAAATTTAACGTGCAATTACAAAATAATTTCAATGTGTGAAGAACTTATTTTCAAAATAAAAGTAAAATGAAATAACTATATTAAAATAGTAAAGTTTTTATAAAATAATTGGTGATGTATTAATGGGGAAATACATGTTTTTAGTATGAGCATAGTACTATTTTAGTGTGTCAGGTAAGTCAAAGTTTCTGGGTATTT